TCATTCTAAGTAAAGTAAGCCAGAAAGAGAAATACCTTATGATATCACTTACATATGGAATCTTTAAAAAAAAAAGACAAACTTATTTGCAAAACAGAAACAGACTCAGATATAGAGAACAAACTTGCAGTTACCTGTGGGGGAACAGGGTGGGAGGGGATAAATTGGGAGTGAGAGATTTGAAGATACTAACTGATATATATAGAATGAATAAACAAGAAGTTTATACTGTATAGTGCAGGGAACTATTCAGTATCTTGTAACTTACAGTGAAAAAGAATATGAAAACAGCTATCTGTATGTCCACGTGTGACTGAAGCATTTTGCTGTACACCAGAAATTAAAAAAAAAAAAACAGGGTTCACCAGACACTCTTTTTGCAAATTGAAAATCTGGTTCCTCTGGAAAGAAGTACATTTTGGCATTAGCAGATATCAGATTAAATAAAATTAAGCCTTAATGTTTTCATGCACATTTGGGTCAGAGTAATCAACCAAATGTCCTTTATCCCAGTATTCTGTTGAAATTATCGTGGAATGAGCTCAAAATTGCTTTGGGATGAAAGTGGCCAAAGGGAGCAGGAGCTAAGGGGGTGAATGTTATGGTCCCTGTTACCGTCCTTACCAGGAGGAGCACGTGGCCAGCAAGCAGCCGGCCTAGCTCCCAGTGGACAACAGCAAGAACTGATGTCCCAGGGCACATTTCTGAAGACCCAGAATGAGCCACAGTTGGGCACGGTCCTTCCAAATGGCTGCTACACATACAGACCCACCCAGGAATGGTAGCTAGCACTAACAGTCCCCCACGGGCTGGGGCTGCGACAGTCATTCACCTGCAGGGGCCGCATCTCACATCAGCCTTGAGTGAGCGCTGTCACATGCCTGTGTCACGTGCGGAGCCCCGGTGCTCAGCGACTGTGCACCTGCTGTGGCCCGGCCGCGAGGAAGCGTGGAGCCTGACTGCCCTCTGGGTCTGCGCCACCCCAGGCCGACAGCCAGAGCCAGGATATTTGAATCTGGCATCAGACCCTGTTCAGGCTTTTTTCTTTTTTTTAAGATGGCTTCTCTGTCTAATCTTTGTGATGCAAATTCCATCCCCCACATTAAGGGAAATAATGTGTCATGCTGAAAGAATGCCTAGAAGTTACTCCTCTCACCACATCTCCAGTGGTGGCCCTCGCTGAGCTGTTTCCAGTAAAAAAGACCCAAATCAAGAATGGAATCAAAATGGAATATCTGGTCCATTTAGAGATCATCAGGTGAAAGTCTTCTTGGAGACAGCCTTCTGAACCTTCCGTGAAGGAGGCCGACTCTGCAACTTTTTAGCTTATATATCTGGTAAGCGTTGTCAGTTTTCAATTAAAAAGACCAACTTTTCAATCTCTTTAAATCAGTCGATTGGTTTTCTTGCAAACAATCAGGATAAAATGGTTCCACCAATTCCTTCTCCTCATTCTAAAGGCATTTCAGCCCTGCCAAACTCCTGTCTCTTGGGTAAGGCTTAAATTACCAGAATTGGCATCAGGAGCTTGGCGGTGCTATAAAGCGTTAAACTCAAGGCTGGGCTTCCAACAGGACTACCATCCAAGTACAAGACAAACATTAAGAGAAAGCGAAAAGGAAGTTTAGAAAGATTAACACACCCATTTGTGATGCAATGCCAGCTATTTTACAAAATCACTTTTGCCTTTGAGTTCCAAACCGTGTGCACCATCATTCTGTGAAAGGGCTAAATTACCATCACCTACTTTGCTTGCCTTGGAGCCATTAACTTTGGAGATGAGTTTAATCTAAAGTTGGAACAGAGGTACTGACCTGCTTCGGACTGACCTACAAAAAGCCAGTCACAAAGCAGAGGTGGTGGCCTCTACCTCCTACTCACTTGGGCTATAAACATAGGCAGAGAGTCCCAGAAGGCTCTGGTGGCTGCCCCCGCGACCCCCACACACACAGCTGTACAGAGTTCTTCTTGATACATATACAGACGGGGCCTCATGCAGGTTCAATAAAAGTAACTCCTCCAGCAGCAGGCGCCCCAGGACGCGTCCTTCACTGAGATTAGCCAGAACGGATACAGCTGCACTTCAAGCAACATCTGAATAAATCAGCCACTTATCATTCTTGCCTTCATGGTTACATTCAGATTAATTTTAAGATTCTTTTCTAAAGCCATCATCCCCGCACAGATAAAAGAGAATGACTCACTGAAGGCTGGCTGTGAAAATATAACCTATGATAGAAGCTGACAGAGGGGACAGACTCACTTGTGTACAGGACTTAGCGGGCTGAGAAGCCACCAGGGCTCCCGGACCACATGGGCTCTCTGCCTGCGGGTCACCCTAATTTTCACCGAGAGCCTCCCAGGAATGCACGTGGGGGTGTGAAAGGCCTACTGTTTGTATGTTTAATAAGGTACAGACCCCGAGTCATCAGGCAAAGGTGTCGCAGAGACCAGGGGGCCAGTGGGCTCCTGAGCAAGCCTATCAGCCGATCCAGATCTCCTTCCGCACTCTCAAAGGGGTGTCTCAAACTGCCAGCCAGTCCGCTCCAGGAGGTGGGACTGGGGCCGACAGGGTCCTTTCTCAGGTACCGTGAAGTACCTGTGACTTTCCACCTCCTGCACGTGTTGTTTTCACAGAAACTGAAACAAAACCGCGCAGAAGCCAGGGCCCCCTCGGCCTCAGCGCTGGCCTGGCTCCTTCCCTCTGACGCTGTGGGGCGCCCCGGCGCGCGGGAAGGTTTCCGAGTCTGAGGAGTAAACCGTGGTTCCGTACGCGGAAGTAAAAACTACCTCGGCTCCAGAGAAGAGCTTCCTTATTTGAAAAATTAAGTCAGGGCAGGTCACGGTTCTGACACTCAGACGTGCTCTTTCCAGAACTTTCGGCGTCCTGGGCCGAGTAGGAGGTGGCGGCCAGCACGCGGGCTTCTGGGCTCTTGGTGAATCCACGTCCCAGGCGTCCAAGAGCCAGAGGCGCTCCGGCCCCGGGAAGGCTGGCTCTGATGCTACACTGCACATGGGGCCTGGCTCAGGGACGGAGGGGCCGGGGGCAGTCACTCGGCCTTATGGCTGGATGTTGAGTGAGACTCCTCAGTGACGGGGGCAGCTGAAGACTTACAGACGAACATCAAACTTCATCAGGCCTCGCTCTGAGTTTCAGGTTAGGGTCTCCATATTCACACTTGGACGCTTTGATAGAGTATTATGTCACATCCCTGAATGAAAACGTCACTTCTCTCTTAATCAGTCAATCCAGTTCTGGGGGGACTGGCTTTTGGGGACGTGGGGTGTACTTGCGGCGCGTTAGCCATCCCTCGTGAAAGAGCCCGACCTCAGGGGTTGCGAATGAGTGCAAAGTGCTCACACAGCCGCGGTGGGCTGGGCTCCGGGGCTCACTGCGGTGGCGGGCGTCCTGGAGCTTGTCACCAGCCTGGGCTCTTCCAGAAGGCAGCAAACTGAAGGCTCACTGTTCCCGGGTCAGTCAGGTCCCTGCTGCCCCATCAGTCAACTAGGAACGTTTGCAGAGACAAACATCTTCCAACCTGATGGTTTCTTATGAACTACTTCCAAGATTGACTCAATACATGTCATTCTTTTCCCTCTTACCTCTTTTGACATGATAAATATTGCCATCCACTGTGCTCCACTGGGAGAGGGTTCAGCACAACACAAAGTAGAGAGCAAGGCCTCGGAAGTTCTGTTACTTGCAGATTTATCCCTGGGAAAGAAGGCATGCCGTGCTTCCCACTCTGCTTATCACCTGGGAGGTTCTCCGAGTTTCTGAGAAGCGTGCGGCTCTGCAGGGCAGCTCCCTGAGACACGTGCTCCGCTCCTGCACCCAGGGGCCTGGCTGGCGCCCACGTGGCTACAGGGCAGGCATCCTCCTCCTGGAGCATGCGCCCCCACTCCCGGGGACCCAGCTGTCATTTACAGTACAGCTCCTTCATCTCTGTCCTCGGCCAGCGACCATGGACAGACGGGTTCACGCACAGCAGACGGGATGCTGCCCGTGTGGACTCGACCCTGCCCGCCCATCCACCTGCCTCTGCGTGCACCAGACAAGGTGGAAACTCGCAGGTCTGTCTCTGCTTTCAAGGGGAAGGGCTTGAGAATGCAGCAATGGAAGGAGGCGGCAGCAGAGAGATGACATTCAAACACACAGGATGTGGGGTTCCAGCTGAGTGAGTTCACGTTGTTTCCCACCCCAAGGGTGCAATTTCCCATGACTGTTGTCTGGGAACCCAGATGTGTTACTTCCTCACTCCCCTTTCCAAGGCATTTGGATGCGCGCATGGGAAGCACGCAACACACGGTCTCAGAGGCAGCAGGTCTGTGGCTGAGCGACAACCCAGGAAAACTGAGTTAATCACAGACACATCGTAGGACTGATGATACCTCTTTGGAAAATAATAAAACTGGTCGATTTTTTGCAAAGTAGCATTTTACTTCTAACTAGGTATTTGCTGGAAAGGCATCCTATGAGCTAAAATCTCCTTGTGGACATTGGCATAGTGACAAACTTTCTATTATGTGTAATTAAAAGTTCCTTTGAAAGTACAGCCTCTTTCTTGAGTCTTACTTGGGGAAAATGAAGGGTAGACGGGTATGCGTAGAAAATATCTCTTTGTGAGAATCTGAGTTTACGTGGAGAGAAAGGAGGGGGTAGACACACGCTTCTCCCAGGACTTTGCACGGACACTCCCACTTTCCTCATTTGGATCTGCGCCCAGGTTCCTCTGACAGCCTTCTCCCCCAGGACGCTCGGGGCCGAGGGAGGGGCCGCAGCTGTGGAGTCCAGGGGGGAGACGGAGGGCCCAAGATGTTTGTGGCCAAGTGGCTGCAGCTGCTTCGGGGTCCACCCCACCCCGCGCCTCAGCCCAGGGCCAGGCTCTGCCCACAGGACCCTCAACAACACGGGGGCAGGAGGGACCAGGCCTAGAAGCTCAGGAGCAAGAAAGCTTCAGCCTCGCAGGGTCTTAACACTCCAGACCCACCACAGCTGCAGTTTTGTACAAAGTGCAAAAAATCTGAGTGCCATCAATGCTGTCTCTTGGTTTACTCCACAGGGCTTACGCTTGGCAATGCTGGCAGTCACTTAACGGTTACACATTGAAACCCCACCTCTTCACACGCACTTCAGCTTTTTTCCAGTGTCATCAGATACTTTTCATTTGAGATACTGTTTCGTGTGGCTTAAAAAGAACCAGAAACACATTACACGTATTTGGGGATTAAAACACTTGCTCTCTCCTTCTCGTGCGCTGTGTTGCCAGTTCAGGGACACGGCAGATGCCCCGCAGCCAACATCCACACACAAGCCCTCAGTGCTTTCTCTGGCCCAGGTGAGAGCGCTACACTTGGGGTCTCCCCTCCTTGGAAGGAAGGTCAACCTTTACAAGGCACAGACCACTCTAGCCAGTCCTGTTTTTCCCTCCTCCTGAGGTACACGTGCTGGCCTGGAGGGGACACAGTCAAGGTGACCATACCACATCCTTATTTACGTGTAAGCCAAACGAACCAGAGCTCTCCTCGCCAGACCACCAGCCCATGAACTCACGGCAGCCCCCGTCCGAGGAGTGGGTCAAACGAGGGGCTGGGAGCTAGGCACCCACCTGCCTGTGGAGCTGTCCCCCGTCCGTGGGCAGCAGCCATGCTCCGTGGTCCCCGGCCTGCACAGGGGGGTGTGCAGGGCGCTCTCCCAGCAGAAAGCCACAGCCTGGGCCCCTGTCATCTCGGGCCGGCCCGTCTGCCTGTAGGTCCCCCTGGACTCCCAGCTCCCCAAGTCTGGGGAAGGCCTCCGGAAATTCGCCCTGAAACAGCAGGAGATGATGGTCATGGCTCCACCCAGGCCTTTTCGCTGTGCAGCCTGATTCTAGTGTCTGAGAATAAGTACCCACCATCTGGGCTGTCACGTCTTCCCTTCTCAGCCCTTTGCCCTGAGCAGTTTGTTTTGGCCACTCCCCTCCCTGGCCACTTCATGTAAATCACATGGAGTGCGTACCCAGTTGATCAGAAAAGGTTAGAAATTTTACTATTTATATCTTACTTGGACAATGACAATTTTTACTTGTCTATGAATTACCAATCAGAGTTACGGTTTTATAAATTAGAGGAGGAGGAACTACAAAGTACTGATCAACAGGAAACCTTACAGCTATTTCTAGTTTTACTTAATGATGGGGTTTTCTAAAAGGTCATGGATATCTGGAAATGGGTCGAGTTGACTGAGGACTCTCTTCACCCTGAGGAAAGAGTCATTGTATCTCCCCAAACGTGGGATGACTCAGAATTCCATACCCTGCTCATGAGAGTGGGAAGCAGACTAAAGGTCTCCGGGCGTAAGAGGAGCCCACAGTCACAGTCGCTTGCAGCAGCCGACAAGGCAGCTGCGGGGGGACGTTCAGAGTCCACGGAAAACCTGCGGTCCCGGTCCTGCACTCACAGCCCGTGAGGCCAGCAAGGAGCCTGCCGGGCGGGAAGCCCCTCTGCCCTGATACAAACCCATCGGAAAGCAGATCGCTTAGCTCTGCTTCTGTTCTAAGTCTGGGAAACTGCAGCACAGGAAGAAGAGTATATACGAACTTCAAAGTCCAGAAAGTGCCCCTCGGGGCTCAGAGGACACACTTATACACGACTGCCTTGGCAGAGCAGGCTCTAGCAATTACGAACAAAAACTAAAATGGAAAGAACAGAGAACGATTTAGAACTACGTCTAACAAACCAGCAAAATGGTGGGGGGAGCGGCGGGCGGCATAGCTCAGTGGTGGAGCACGTGCCTAGCATGCGCGAGGTCCTGGGTTCAATCCCCAGTGCCTCCATTAAAAAAAATGAATAACCTAATTATCTCCCCCTGAAAAAGATAGGAAAAAACAAAAGTTTAAAAAAAATTGGAAAACTTAAGAAAATTTTAAGGCGGGTAGGGTATAGCTCACAAGGCAGGGCGCATTCTTATTAGCAGGCACGAGGTCCTGGGTTCAATCCCCAGTATCTTCTCTAAAAATAAATAAATACCTAATTACCCCCAAACCACTTTTTTTTAAATTACAAATTAAAGTACAACCAGCGAAGTGGAATGAGACAGCTAAGGACCTCAGGGTGACAAGTGTAACAAGTTTATCCGTCAGCAACAAAAGAGATGGCAGCAGAACTCGGCTGCAGGAGGGGGTCACGGACCAGCGCGCTCCTAAATGAGCTCCGAGGGCAGCACCGGACAGCCCGCGGCATCGCCCTGCCTGGTGGGCCGTGACCAGGTCGTCTGAAGTAAATGAACACGACTTTGTGTGCAGGGGGAGGGGGCAGCACGGTCTGGGGGTCCAGATAAAACGACCTCTGGCACAAGGTACCTCGGTGAAGTCCTCTCCTTCCTCCTCCAGCTGCTTCCCCTGCCGCCAGCGTTTCAGGAGCCACCTGAGTTTGACGTAGAAGAGGAAGACGTTCTGCCTCCAGGACCGCAGCTCCTGCTGCAGCAGGTGGCCCTCGTCGCTCCAGCTCCGCTCCTGCAGAGAGTCCTGCACCTCCAGCTCCCGCCACCTCCAGGCACAGAGGTGCTCCTCCTCCCTCTGCAGGGAGGGGACGCGAGGGTGAGACAGGCCCCGTCCTGACCCGCCACCCGGACCAAAGCCAGCCTCTGCACACCGCCAGCCAGCCCGCGCCACCCTGCCCGTGGGACACGAAACTCAGAAGCCCCCCGTTTGGTCCACTCCTTGAGGGGGCTTCTATTTATAAAATGTCAGGTGTCTTCTGATTCAGAAGTGCCTGCTGTTTCAAGGCAAGGGGTCAGAATCACTTCTCCCTGTGGAGTCTGCCGTGGTGGTTTTAGACATTACTGAACTCCTGCAGGAAGCTGTCTCTTGGCTGCAGGGCTCACAGCCAACTCAGATGCAGGCGCCGCTGGCCCTCTGCACCAGGCTGGGACACACGGCACGTTGCACCTGCCAAAGCAGCGTCAGCAGGAATCCTTCCCCTCGACTTCCTGCCCTGGGTCCCCACCGCCCTAACGGAAGGAGGACCAGCAGGTGCTCCGCTGCATGCAGGAAGGCTGATCACCTCTGTCCACACCTGAGACCTCACCTTCCTATCAGGTATGGGTGACTCTCAGGGAAGTACAAGCGGTGCTTGAACAATGTTTTCCATCACTGTCAAGTTCCTGTTTTTTCCCAACACGGGTACAGGCACTGTTCCAAGCAATAAACAACTATTATGTGCCAATAACGGCTAAGCGAAGGGTGTGAACGCATCCCTACCTTACAGATAAGGCACAGAGGAGAATCTCTAGTAGCTAACGTGGCACGCGGGATGAGGGTTTTCTGCTCCACAGAGCAGAGAGAGTAAGAACACCAGGCTTACTGGTACCAGCTGTCCTCTCCTGACTGGACCCCTCCCGTGCCAAAACCAGTGGGTGGCTTGGGTTTGGTTTCCCTAAAGAACAAGACTGGTGCTCACAAACCATGGGACTGCCTGAGGTCGAAGCCACCACCACCGACGTGCTAAGGCCAGTGCCAGGCTAAGCCAGGCAGCCCTGGGAGGCCCCGGAGGCAGCTTGGTCACTGGCTCGGCCACTGTCAGGACACCAGAGCTCATCTGCACTTCAGGCTGGAAGGACGTCAGACAGTCAGACGGTGGCGATTTGCTTCACGTCTTAGCAGCCCTGAGTCCCACCCCTGCTTCTGTCCCCTGTGCAGACACGACAAGACGGATGGGGCGGGGAAGGGGGCCGCCCAGCTACTGCAAATCCAGGCTTTGCAGTTTACTTGTGCGTTACTTCAGGCCACTGGCTGAGTGTGGTCAAGTGTCCGATGCTGTGCAGTGCCCAGTGTGGGGCAGGTGCCCCGCAGATGCTAGAGGATCCACCGCTGGAGGTCCAGCCCTGGCGGGGGGCGGTCCTCTTGGGTCTGTCATCTGCAACCTCCCGGAAACGTCCCCAGTCCCTGCCCCCCTGGGGCGCCCTCCGCCCCTCAAGCTGTTCAGCACACGAGCGCCTCCAGGTCGCCCAGCTGCTCCACTGCCAGCTTCAGCTGGGATTCCCACCCTACTCTGCATTTAATGTGAGAATCCTCCGTGTTTTAACACGTCTGGTACTGGCCCCAAGCTCCTTACTCTTAGATGTTACAACAGCAGCCTGATCAAGCTACTCTGTTGAGAAAAGCCGAACTTTTCTACCCGTGAGGCTAAACTAGTTTGCTTTTAATCTTAATACATAATTATATAAGCTATTTTTAAACAGATCTATGAGCCTTGTACCTTAGCATCGTTTGATTACAGATGTGTCCCCGTTTGAACCTCGCCTTTGAAAAGTCACAGAGAAGGACCCCTGAAGTCCTGCGAGGCAACTCCTTTACCTACAGCAGCTCCCATGTCTTCTGTGGAGGCTGGTCCACGACAGAAACTTCTAGACCTTCCTCAGCTATTAGAAGTTGCACTTTCTTCTCCACTTTTGCTAACAAGACAGTAAAACTTCCACGGACAACGAACTGCACCACATCAGGAGGCCGCCACTCTTGTGTCACCAAAAACCAAAATACAAACAGGCTGCGGCAGAAATACGTCCCTTCGTCACCAAGTCCCCAGAGGTTAGCTCTAAAACCGTCCTCTGCCCTTCAGCTACGGGCCTGACGGCACGTCACACGTGCGCACTTTAGTCCCCTCTACGAGGGCAGCTCACGCGTCTTCAGCTGACATCACGACCACCGTCCCGGTGTCACTGCTGTGACACCCACGGCCCAGGCTTTCCCCCTCGAGGCTGTCCCACACCAACGCACACAGCTGACTTCCGGACATCTTCAGAGAAGGTGGCCTATGAATTACTCCACTCTTAGAGGAGACCGGCATGGCCTCAGCACACGAAGCCAAACCGAACCCCCAAAAGGCAACGCTTTTCACTGTACCCCCTTCCTAGACCCCAGCTTAGTAGGACTCTCGTCAGCCTCCATCACCGTGACCTCCTGTTCTGGTGAGCTCCGGCCTCTTTCAGAAGCGGCTCACCAGGTCGACACCTGTGCTCGGCGCACACTTGGCGGGAAGCCCCGGGCCGCTTCACCGCGGCGGGCATGGTACAGCGGCGGCACAGCGGCCTGCGGGGGGGAGCGCGGGAGGGGAGCTTCGGAGAAGGGCCCCGGGGGACTCCTGACCCGGAAACCCAATCCTCGGGCACAGGCTTGGCTCCGGGTGTGTCTGAAACCCAGCCGGTGCCTGTACTTGGCTACCCCTCATTCGGAACTATTTTTAGTGCCCACACATTCCAAACCACATATTCGTACACTGCTCTCCTGACAAATGGGAATCTCTCAGCAGCTTCGCCGGGAGCCCCAGGGAGCGGTCAGGGAAGAATCCGGTGGGAATCTTGCCGACGTCTGCGGAGGCAAATAAGCAACAGGAACACTGGTCCTTCTGGAGGCCAGCTGCGTCCTTTTCCTCCGAGTGGTGGATTCTGTGGCTGCATTAGTGGGCTGGTGGGTTCTGACCTGAGCTCCCTGGTCGTGGCCATTCCACGTGGCAGGTCTCCCACACACAGATCTGTTATCTGCTGACAGGCTAAGAAGGGGCTTTCCTTTTCCACCTTGTTACTACTGCCTGCTGCTGGTGCTGGCAGTACCTAAACCCGGCCAAAGCACCCAGTGCGTCCCAAGTAAGCATTTAACTTCTTTCCTCTTTTCCCCCAAACGTGAACATCTATCAGGCAAAAACATAGAAGGCACTTCACAAATGGAACTTGGAAACTTAGAGTTGAGAAATTTCCCAAACTTAACAGCTGAAACTCAGAAGGCTGCCGCCACTTTCAAGCTGCTGACCCTGGTGGTCTGCCACCAGCCCCAGGGACCTATGGGCCAGGAGCCGGAGGACGTTCACACGTGTGCAGGCATAGCTGGCTCGTGCAGACGAGTGGCAGTTATTTCCAGGACAACGGAAGAGGGAGTGAAGAAAGCAGCTGGGAGGATGCCCGGCCTCAGTCTCACTCCTTCTAGATGAAGACCTCTGTGTTTGCCGCCCCACCCCCGGCAAGTGGCACGCTGTGGCTGCATGGTGCTCCATGGCCACGTGGCATGAGCCCTCAGCCCGCAGTGGGAGCGGCCCCTCTGGCCAGACGCCCTGCCGCCTGGTGGGGCCTGTGCGCTGGCTCCACCATGGCCTTTGTGGGCATTGAATTGGGGGAGGTTTTCATTAAAAGGTTTAGAGTTCTGCTCCCTAGAACTGTCTGCTGTACCATCCTGTAACCCAGCGTAGTATTTAAAGAGCAGACTGAACTGTGTGTCAGGGTGACATGCACCCCAGGGACGGACACAGCTGCTCCCTCGAGACCCAGCCCCGACGGGACCCACGCTCAGCTTCTCTAAGAGGGAAAACTGCAGAGCCACCAGAGTGGTCCGTGAATGTGTGTTGTCTTTCAAACAGTATAGTAGGTGTTTGCGTACATAACTAAGTTTTCTCTCCTGTGTGAAATACCTTGGTGAATAGAAAAAGTCAGAACAAACAACCCCTGATTAATTCTGTTTTCCCTTCCAGGAAGTGATGGTCCTGGACCCTGCCTTTGTCTTTGAGACTCTTCACTCCCTCATTAAAGTGTATACAATTAAAGGAAAACAGATAGATGCTTAAGAGAATAAACACCCCATGGCAAGACGGCCGGCCAGACAGGGAGCCGCCCAGTGGTGGGGTCTGAACACGTCCCCAGGGAGGGGAGGGCAGCACTCCCCACTGGGGGGGGGGCCTGACCAGGTTGTGAGACTGCTCAGGACCCCGGCCCAGCACGGCCCGCGGGGGGCCGGCTGACACTGGTTCACACCCTCTCTTCTCTCTCACAGAATGAGGGGGCTCCGCTGAAGATCCCTTCCAAGCAGTCATGTTCGGGGACCCTAAGGTACCACAGGCACAACCAGCTGCGCTCACTCGCCTTGTTCAAAGGTTGGCTTTCCCACCACGTGGACTCAGCAAAGCATCTTCCTCTCTCCAAAGCCCTGCCGGCCTCTGACGCAAAGCCCACCAGTCTGGGTGAGCGAGAACGCACCCCTGCCCAGGGAGCCGGCGGTGCCTCGGGTGGCGGAGAGGTGCTGGCACTCCGCAGAGTCCCCCGGACACAGTCACGTGGGACACACTGGGTGGTGCGGCACAGGGAGGGGCACGTTCTCTTCAGCGGGGTGTCAGAGGGAAGCGGACTGCCCTGTTCGCCACGAGCCGCGTTCCCGGGACAGGATCAGGGAGCAGCCAGGGGAAAGTGAGAGAAGGCCACAGCGGGCAGAGAGAACTGGCCCCGGGGCCCAGCCACCAGCCGTAGCGTTTGGTGCCAGTCCTCTGCGAGCAGGATGGGACCCAGACTGGCCTGCCTGGGGCTTGTGTGTGCTGTCATTTGATGTGCCCTGACTGGCCGGCTCTTGTTCATCTTCACTGCGCGTTTATAGTTGTGAAGCCACACAGACTGCAGGAGCTGGGACATCCCCCACCTGGCAGCCTTCAGCAGCAGGATGTCACCCCCTTTCCCAGACGTCACGATGACACAGTCTCATGCTTTTCAGTCAACAGCTCATTGGCTCCAAAAATCAACCGCTTATTACCCACGTGAGGCAACCAGGCAGTATTTTTACTCCCATTGTACAGACGAGAAAACAAAGGCCCAGAGACTTACATGAGAAACAGCTAGAAATAGGCAGAGCTGGGCTGGAGCCTGGGACACCAGTGCCTCTGCCGGGGTGGATTCCAGCGCGCGGCATGCCGTCCCCACTAGAAAGAGCAGTGGGTACAGTGGCAACCAAAGGCTGGGAAACATGTTTCCCTGAAGTTTCCATCCCGGTTTCCATCCTGGAGATGGATCACCCGGTTCACTGGAAATGCACCTAACTGTGAGCCTGCAGCTGCCCAAGCAAGTGGCCTTCACAGACGAGGGGCCTGTGTGAGACACGGGCTGGCCGGGGCTGCCTGTAGTCCAGTGCAGTCAGAGCACATGGCTGAGTCCATGGGGAAGTGGGATGCCCCGACGTGTGGGGCCGCCCTGCTGGGCACACGGCTGCTGTTCCGGGGAGACGACACCCTGCAGCCAGCACGCTGGACGTGTCCAGAAGACACCTCTTAGAAAGTCACAAGTGCTTACACTGGGCCCTCCGTGCTTCTAACCGGGAGGTCCCTCTGCCTGGGGACCACCCATGGTGGCTCCATGCAGCCAGCACGCCAGGATTCTGCCTGTTTCCTGGGAGCTCAGCCCTTCACAGGCCAAGTCCCTTGTCACGCCTGGCTGTGGGCCAGTCACTTCCCTCTGGGCCTGGACGCCACCTCCTCGGGCAGGCCCGGCCTCTGCCCAGGTGATGCGAGGACAGGGGCCGCCTGGGATGTTCCTGAACTGCCTTGCTTTCATTTACGCTTTCTGGGGGTGGTCTTCACATCACCACCCGCCCAGCCCCTACAGGACCAGGGAGGAGACCCCGGCTGGAGAGACCCATACCCGAGTCCTCTGACTGCGCGGCAGCAGCCTCACTGGGGCGCAAGCCGCAAGCTGAACCGACAGGCCCTCCACGCACTTATTCTCCTGATCAAACGCCTGACTCTTTGCCAAGTGAACTTCCATTTGCTTCCAGATGTGACAACCCCCTCTCTCCATCTCCCCTGCCATCTAGGAACCGCTATGATGCCTCAGAACTGACCAGTGATATCCCCACTGGGACTGATGAATGAAGAGCCTTCATCCAGAGCTTCTCTAACACAGAACATGCTGCTCTAACCCTGCGGTCATCGGCCTCACTCCTCGGGGCCACCTGTCCTGTCCTGGGTGGAATTACTTGCACGGAGAGGGAAAACTGTTTACCACAACAGAGTATCTGTGGGGGCTGGGAGCTTTGTGGACGAGAGTTGCTATGGCAACAGCGACTACAGAAGCACCCCCAAGTCAGGAGAGCATCCTTGATTCTGCCCAATGGCTGGAGACGATCAAGGGAAAATGCCGGGTGGGCCCATGAGACACCGGGAGGACAAGCTCGGGTTTCAGCTCCGCTTTCCTTACTGTTTGACAAGGAGCCACAGAGTGCTCTCGAATCAGTCTCAGATGCTTTGCTACATCCCCAGGCGCCCGCAGGCCCCAGACAGCCGGTCTCCCTGCCGTCACCCCTTGGGGAACCCCCAGGTCAGGTGCATGCAGTGACACCCCCCTGCTTCCACACTCCCCCTGCCGCGTTCCCAAGGGGCCTGGGACTCAGGTGGGAACCATCACACAGAC